TGTGGTAAGCAGCAAGCTACCTACACCTAACCCTGCTGCGGCGAAAGGCTCTTTCAATACCTGTAACAAGAAGGTGTGTAAACTGTGTCCATACACGCGCTCCACAGATACATTTCAATGTACAATCAACGGCACAGTTTATCACATACTACAAACACTGACATGCACATCAGTCAATGTGGTGTACCTTATTACCTGCAAAAAAATGCAATTTACAGTACGTGGGCGTGACCCGCACCCAGCTCAATATCAGAATCAACAACCACCGCTGCTCCATCAAGCAGAACAAACCAGACTTCCCCGTGGCAAGGAATTTTAATATGCCTAGCCACAGTTGGAAAGACATGCAGGTTGTTGCCGTAGATCATTGCCCTACATGGGATGAAACAAGACGACGTACGAGAGAACGGTTTTGGATCACCAATCTACAAACCCGCTACCCTCGAGGTATGAACGAATGATAGGCGGTTGCCATCCGCTCGTTTTCCTTCCAGGGGGCATTTGACCTAATGGTGCATTACTGCACAGTTGGTCTGCTATCTCGCCTGCCTGCTGCTGCATATCAGTGTGTGTGACCAACAGCCGTTGTCAGATTAATTTTGAGGATTTATACAGTCTTAGCCATTTTATCTACTTATTCCACCTGCACTCACTTATTTGATAATTACATGCATTATTCCTGCAAGCATTATTCCTTCAAACCGAAAGAGGCGACTAAGTGTGGACCCCTGCTGTGAATATGAAATGAGGGCATTCCGTAGAAATTTGAGATTTTTCACATTTACAATTAAGAATAGGTCCTCTACATCAGCGTCCCTTGTCCGCGATGTTCTCAGCTTAATTGCTGCCTTCGGCTGTCTTTAGCCGAGGGGACTATTTTTTTTTTATATATAATAGCTATATTTTTATGATAGTATATCAGTTATATATTCTTGTAATATGATGTATATGTACATGTAACTGTTCTGTTTCAATGTGTCTTGATAACGGAGCGGATCGCTCCGAAAAGGTGAGGTCAACATTTGGCCCCCACTTTGATTTACTTTATTCTTTTGCCATATGTAATTACATAAAAATGATCAATAACTGCATAAATGATTATTCATAATTGTTACTGATAACCGTAGTGGACCTCCTTGTATAACACCAGGTTGAGTGACGGGGGTATCCTAAAAAAATGACCGATAAATATCACAGGCAAATGTTAATTTGGAAATGAATTATGATAGTGTATAGCGTATAAATTTACTGTTATTTTGATACTAAATATGTCATATTGGTAGACATGAAGTAAGCGTAGTGATACTTTTAATTGGAGAAACATGCAAAATTTTCACAAAACTAACATTGTCAACTTGCCTTTATATAGTTACAAAGTTAGTCTATATTTTAAACTTATTTAAAAACTTCCTATATATGTATTCTGTCTACAGAAACATTTTTATGTAATATCAAAACCGGTAATGTACTTTTTTAGCATGCCAAACATGATCAATGCCCAATTTCACATAACCTTGAAGATTTGACTATCAATGTTTATTATGATAAATACCGATACATTTTCTGTTTTTGTATCATATATAAACACTTTATTATGTTGGGCATGTTTTCAAGTTATGTGCAGCAGTAATAACTCATGAATATGTATTCTGTCATAGTAATCTTTCTTCTGGAGAACTACTTAAGGTTTGAGATTGTGTTATAGACAAAGCTATGCAATTATCTAAAAATAAATAAAATAATCTTAATAACAAAACTATTATACACTTTATTATACCCCCGCAACGAAGTTATGGGTGGGGGGTGGGGGTATACTGTAATCAGCTTGTCTATCAGTCTATCTGTCAACTCATTCTAAAGTAGTAGACCAATTTCAACGAAAGTTTCCAGACATGGTAACAACCATCTGATGGTGTGCATCCAGGATTTATTTTTTCAATCTGACCATTTTTTACGGAGTAATGGCCCTTTGTTGAAAAACACTTGTCCAGACAACTCCTCCAAAACTATGGGGCCAATTTCAACGGAAGTTTACAGATATGGTAACTGCCCCTGACATTGTGCATCCAAGAAGTATGTTTTCATTCCGACCCTTTAAAAAGGAGTTATTGCCTTTTCTTGAAACAAGAGGCCCAGAGGGCCTGTATCGCTCACCTGTTTCTTTTGTTACATGCAACTGACATATAGGTAACTTAAGACCAAATTTGGTAACTAGAACACAAGACATTTTAACATCTCTTAAACTGTTCTGAAGATATTGTTGTTTGAAACTTGAAAATTTAATGTTAAAGCTTTTAACTCATATTGACCTTTGACTCCCGACTTGCACTTAAAGTTGACCTTTGACCTCATTACTGTAATAAAGAAAACAATTCACACAGCTGGTCTACATAACATACCCAAGTATCATGACTCTGGTCCAAATGGTTCTTAGGATATTGTTGTTAGAAGTTTTTAACATAATTGACACCAGTGACCTTGGAAGTAGGTCAAGGTCATTTTAATAAGGAAAATTTATAACACTTCATCCCAGGTACATACTGACCAAATATCATGACCCCGAGCCTTATGGAAATTGAAAAGGAGATTGTTAAAGCCTTTGACTCATGTTGACCTTTGACCCCAACTTGCACTTAAAGTTGACATTTGACATCATTACTGTAATTAAGAAAAATATTTGCACTGCTGGTCTACATAACATACCCAAGTATCATGACACTAGTCCAAATGGTTCTTAGGATATTGTTGTTTGAAGTTTTTAACATATTTAACCCCAGTGACCTTGAAAGTAGGTCAAGGTCATTTTAACCAGGAAACTTTATAGCACTCCATCTTAGGTACCAACTGGCAAAATATCATGACCCTGGGCCTAATGGAACTTGAGAAGAAGATAGTTAAAGATTTTAACCAAAGTGACATTTGAACCCTCGACTAGCATTTAAAGTTGACCTTTGACCTCACAACTGTAACTGAGAAAAATATTCGCACTGCTGGTCTGCATAACATACCCAAGTATCATGACTCTAGTTCAAATGGTTCTTAGGATATTGTTGTTTGAAAATTTTCACATATTTGACCGCTGTGACATTGAAATAAGGTCAAGGTCATTTTAATGAGGAAACTTTATAGCACTCCATCCCAGCTACCTACTGGCCAAATAGCATGACCCTGGGCCTTATGGAACTTGAGAAGAAGATTGTTGAAGATTTTAACAAAAGTTGACATTTGAACCCCCCACTAGCATTTAAAGTTGACCTTTGACCTCATAACTGTAACTGAGAAAATTATTCGCACTGCTGGTCTACATAACATACCCAAGTATCATGACTCTAGTTCAAATGTTTCTTAAGAAATTGTTGTTTGAAAATTTTCACATATTTGACCGCTGTGACCTTGAAAGTAGGTCAAGGTCATTTTAATGAGGAATCTTTATAGCACTTCATCCCAGGTACCTACTGGCCAAATATCATGACCCTAGGTCCTACAGTTCTTCAGAAGAAGTCGTTCAAAAGAAAAAGTTGACGGACGGACGACGGACTACGGACGCCACAGTACGGCATAAGCTCACATGGCACCTTCGGGCCAGGTGAGCTAAAAAACTTTGTCTGCCTCTTAAACTTCTTCGCCAATTTCATGAAAGCTTACAGATATGGTAATTACCCCCTGATGTTTTGCATCAGGGTAGTATTTGTTCATTTCGACCCTTTTAAGGAGTTATGGCCCTTTGTTAAAAATCTTTGTCTTGATAACTCTTCCTTAACTACTAGAACGATTTCAGCAAAAGTGGGTCATCTAGGCTAACAAGATGTGGTATGAAAGTATGTTTTGGCATAGGGAAGGAGTACAAGAAGTATGTCAGTGACATATATACATACATAATTTGCAATGCTTTGCCTTAGTTAGCCTTTAGATTACAGTTCTGGTTTATATAGGAGCGGAGGTTTTAGTTAATCTTTGACTTACAGTTCTAGTTATTATTTTTGTAGGCTTTTGTCCGACTCCCTGTACCAAAATAAAATTCGGCACATTTGGTTTTGTGACCTTGAACAAAGGTCAAGGTCATCAAAATTAACAACACTTAAACTCATTTACATGAACAACCTTCTTACCAAATATCAACACCCAATGACCTTTAGTCATGAAGAAACACAAGTTTAAGGAAATGTGGAAAGAAAGCTATGCTTTTCTTTTTTTTAACCAAAAGTCGTATACGACAAATTTACCGGTTTTCATTTTTTTTGAAATTCCTGATGTTGAAAGATATTATTTGTAGCCAACTTTTTAGCAAGTAAGAAAAATAGACTAGTTTTAGAACTATATGAAATGGAAAATTTCTCATAAGAAATGAAATTTCTCACATTTTTCTGCTTAATTCTTAAATAAAAAGAACAATTCTTTATTGAAATAGTGTAATATTCGGTATCAAAATAACAGTTGAAATATGTTGCACACGATGATGATATATATTTTTATAGTAATTGTGCCATTTAAATGCTCTAGGAGGAATTGTATTACTGCACCTTTAACACCCACACAGGTGTAAGTCAAAGAGGTCCCATTTATCATCAAATGAATTCTGAAACTAACTATTCCTGATTTAAGCTTCCTATACCTATACCTTTTTGGATTTATCTTGTTTTGGAATTCCAAGTGGGGGCCGACGCTATGTTAAATCTCCATAGGCGTTGACCCTACCTTTGACAACCTAAACTTGTCCACACAGTTGGAATTACTTCTTTGCCCCATAAATATGTGTGTGTACACTGCCTGTTCTTGTTGTAGTCCATTTAAACTTACAGCTTTCAGGAAACCCTATTCTCAATTAATGTAAAATGAACTTAAAGCGAGTCAAATATTTTCCACAATTAGACTGTAGCACAAAGTGTGAAAGATTAGAGACGTAGCCGATATTGACATTGTGATACACAATACAATGTATAAAAATACTACCGGTATAGTGACTTTTTATTAAAAAGGTAAAATATGTTACAAACAACAACAAAATGTATACAGTTTTTATTTTGACAAAGAGGTTTTGTCAGTATCTGGTATACGAAAATATATATGATACTTTTTGAATAAAATCATTAATTGAAGTACATGTATAATAGTGTTAACAAAACAATGCTGAACACAAAACATCACTTAAAAGTTTAGTCAGAATAAATACAACGGAATTCTTGAAAGGCTTTAAATTCCAACAGTTTTAGCACTTGTGTTATATATTTAAAAACTATTTAAAGGAAAAGACTAGGATGGAATAGGGTTACATAATAGGAGACACACTGGTACAATTACAAGTAACGATTCATATACAGGAGTTGTCTGCATTGGTATCCACAATACATTTAAAAGTGTCAACATGTGATCCACCTTCTTGTGAAGGTTTACACATGGTAACTGTTTTGACTTAACAGGAACACTCTTTTGGCATTGTTAGCCCAAGTATCCTCTAGCCCTTACACCAGACTTGAACATTTTGACATATATATCTGTATGTCAAAACTTTTAAGTCTGGTGTTAGGGCCAGAGGATACTCGGCTTTTGGCTTTGTATGCATGCTGCCTACACTAAAAACAACTGTTTTACACACCTATGTAAATTGTACAGGTAACATTTTGAGCTAAAAACACTGGGGAAAAGTCTGCTCATATAATCTATATCGAATTTGAACAATACATATTGTTACATTGTGAACACTCTAGTAATTCCCAAAGTTGATCATTTGAGTACACTTAAAGAGGTTTAGGTGTATCATTTATCTTGAGATGAGTACTGATTTGAAGACCAATACATTCATCGAGTCATTCTTTAAATCAGATGATTTTTTCAGAAATCAAAGTGGGTGAATTAGCGAAAATGTGGTGTACATCTACTCAAATCAACAACAAAGAAACACACAAAAAAACCCACATAATTAATATACTCATAACTTAATTACACCTATGCCATTTTAACATTTAATAGCAGAACATGATCTGAACAATCTTCATATTCATTTATAAATAGTCCACACATAACAGTGCATCACTAAATAATCATCTAGCAAAATACAGCATACCCATAAAACAGGTGCACAGGTAATACATGATCATTAAAGCTCTTTTATTCACACTGGAGTATACATTAACTGATTAAATAAATAAAACTTTCAGATTTTTATCTCTGAACCAAAAAACGCTATCTCAGTCTTGGATATTTATCAAAGAGGAACACAGTTATACAGGATATAGTTTCTTACAATCTACATGAATGTAGATTAAAATGATATATTCTTTCAATCTGTTTACAATAATACTAGCATGGACATTGGAAACATACTATGGCAGATTCCTTTTTATACACAACAAACATGTAAGGGAGATAAGCGAAACTTTGCATAGATCAATTGCATGCACATCTTGCATGACAGCATCCTGCAGGCACAGCCTGTATATCATACAATACAACCAGCTTACCCGCATTATAAACACACTGTTTCATAATACTCTTCTTTTCAGATTAAAAATAAATATTTTAAATCAAATCAATTTATTTGGTTTGACAGGAACAACTGTCATTATTCTTCATGACAATGACTAGGAATTATACCATATATAATGTATGCGTCATTCAGCCTGTTATAGCTTTACAGTTAAGTTATTTCCCCAATGGAAAGTTTTATAACAAATGTGTTTGATTCTATATAGGTTCACTTGTATCTATTACCAGTAAACACATGTATATCAGTTACAAGTAGTCATTAAACAAGGAGCCGGTATACGATTATAATTCTACTCCTGTCAAAATATAATGACATGAAAATAATGGAAGTAAATGGAAATCTTGATAAAAGGGCATTGTAGGTACTGGATAATGAGCGCCTCTCTCTCTCTGAAAGGAGTTGGTGGCATTACTGATGTAGAGTTACTCCGGATCGCCTTTCTAACCTGCCATGTTGTTTGGGTTAAGGATCTCGATCCAGTAACCATCTGGGTCCTGGATAAATGCCAACCCTTTCATCTTCCCTGGAACATAAATAAACATTCATGCTGAGTCTAGTTTGGTTTTATATTGTTTAATGTCCTATCAACAGCTAAGGTCATTTAGGACGTGCATCCATGTGTGTTGTGTATGAATGCATGCGTGTATGTGGGACGGAGACAGGGTATGTTGTGTATTACAAAGGTAATGAACTAAATAGCAATCAGCAATTACTGGACACAGGTACCAGACAGGTATCATGGTAACAATATCATACTACAGGACACACGTACCA